TGTAACGATTTCGTTAACATAAAAGTTAACACAATTGTATACGTATTAACAATTTATTTATGAACAACAAAACAATATTCCATATTATAATGTTAACAATTTTAATGTTTACAATATTTATGGGAAGAAATATTTAAAACTACAAAAACAACAATCTTAGTACATTCGTATAGATACAATTTTACACACGTTTGGGGAAACTTAAGGTACCCAGTACGTAGTGTATACATTATGCCGGAAGCGCTGTGGCGCTGTTGTGGAAGTATGTATCAAGGGTATCAATGTATCGCCGTATGCCGGGGTCGTGGAGTTCTCGTTATGCCGGGAGCGTTGTACCGTGGCTGTGTAAATGTGTGTGAAGGACGTATAAATAAATACAATTAGGTTACCGGTATGTATGTTGTTATTGGAGCGGCAGGCAACGGTGGCAGGTGTACTGCTGGCAGTGGTAATGGCAAGCGTGCTGCTGGCGCTTGGTGGCGTGTGTACTGCTGATGGTTGGTGGCTGCAGACGTTGTGCTGCTACAATGAGTTGATTTTGACGGTGCGTTCCAGGTGGAGGCCGTTTGAGAATCGCATTTTCTCGTTCAAACGCTTGACCTTTTACATAGTTATCAGATCTGTAATCGTTACTCGTAACTCACGATGTTTGTATCTCGTTAGTGGGCGGCTTGAGCCAGCGCCGTCTTTAACTGTCCGTTGGATAAATAATTTAATGTTTGATCGTGTCGATTAGTGGGGATAGGTTGACTGGGTAGCATTTCGCCTCGCAATTTGAAGCAAGCATTAGCTAACGGGCTGATGGTTAAAAAAGTAAGTATTTATATTTTTATTTTGTTTTAATTATTTATTATATCTTTGTGTGTATTATCTGTTATATAGGTATACAGTCTTGCAGTTCAAATATTCACCATGGCTAACAAAATACATAAGTTTGAATACTAAGATAAGGAAGAATGTGGCTAATGATTTTGAAAAAGATTTCTACAAACTTATGAACAATGTTGTTTTCCATAATTTATTATTATTATTAAAAGTTTACTGTTAATATATTTTTATAATTTTCTAAGTAAAGCGATAGAATCGATGAGACAGAGAATAGATGTTAAACTGGTGTCGTGCAAGAGAAGTGTGCAGTAACTGATAAATAAAAGTAGTACTGCATTATTAACACTCCGCGTACCGCCACACTAATGATACTCTACTACTTTTCTCCAAACCAAACTTAAAAATAGAACATCTCGTCAACGGATCGACGGAAATCAAAAATGTCTACACTCAAATTTATTTTAACCAATCTCCATCTATATTTATGTAATTTTTAAGATATATTTCCATTTGAAAATCAAAAGTAAGTAGTTGTATTACCCCCAAAAATAAATGTGAGAAAAATAACACAAATATAAAATTGTGGAGCAGCTTGTTTCTTAAATGTTCTAGAAAACAAAATCTTAGTTAGAAAAGTTAATACTTTCCGAGACAATGAGTGTACCCACTTAAATAAATCACCTGGTAAAGCACAAATCTTTGTGCCATATCGCTGAAGAACAAAATTATAAATTTCTGTAAGCCAATTTATATTGGATTTGCTGTACTCGATGTTTCAAAGGCCAAAATGTATGATTATCATTACAATGTTTTGAGGAAGCATTTTAAAGACAATATCAATTTGATGTATACCGATACAAGTATATTATTATTATTATTATTCTTGTATGTATAGTATTATATATATTTGTTTTTTGTTCTAGACTCCTTTGGGGTATTATATTAAGACTACATATTTTTACGTATACCTGATCAGTAAACCTGGACTGTTGGAGTGCATGGACACGACCAACCTTCCAAAAGACCACCCGTGAGAGAAAAAAGATACCCGGCTTGTTTTCCGACGAGATAGATGGAAGGACAATAACATAGTTTTGTGTTTTACGTGCCAAATCTTATTCGTATAAGATTGACAATAAAGAAAAGATCAAGGCGAAAGGTATCCAAAGTCATATGGTTAAAAACAATATGATGTTCGAAGACCACAGGTAGTGTTTCTTCAACGATAGTGATTTGATTAACTGTATGTCTCTGCGGGCGTCTGGCGGTGACAGGCGGAAAGCGGTTCACTGGTGGAACCAGAACGTAGCGGACGAGCGGCGGGAATGCCTACGAGCAAGGAGACTGTATCAGCGGGCGACAAGAATTCGGCAAGGCGCCGCGACGGAGAAGCTACGAAGAGATTTTCAGGCGAAGAGAGAGGATCTGAGGATCTCGATTAGGAAAGCTCAGGAGAAGAGTTGGAGTGACCTCTGCTCATATTTATATTTTAATAAGTTAACTGCACAGTGTACGGTAACCCTCGTGTAGTTATTATTCGCTAAATATGTAAAACAAACATAAATTACTCATTTTGGGCTAATTTTTCTAATCTTTAACCGTACTGGGCATAGCATTTAGTGTACACGCGATTTCTTCTCAATGTTTTTGGGTTGAAGTCTGTCTCGTGGGTTTAAAAAAACGAAGTCCGAACATCGAAAAACCACCCCTTTATTTCTCTTACCCTTCCTTACTTTATTCACGTTATGCAGTCAGAATATCCATTTTTCGATTTTTCCAGGAATTTTCTCAACAAATGGGAAAAAAAGGAAAATGTAAATGGCCTTTTGTTTTCTTGTGAACAACTTTTCTACCAGCAGTTTTGTTTTGATTTACAATGATATATTGTATTTATATTTTTTAGTACATAAAATACCTCATAAACAATTGTATATTTTGTATAATGTATGTATTTTTATTGTGCGTTATATTATTTGAATATATTTTGTATTATTTGTTTATATTTGATAAAAAAGAGGTATAATTTACTCATTTGTTAATAACTAATTAAATATTTTGAAAAAAAATTAAAATACCCTCAACATTTGAGAGTTTGTTTTAAGTGTTATTGTCATTTTTAAAAAAGTACAATTTAAACTTTTATTAATAAAACCAACAATTAGAAAAAAGGAAAAAGGACAAGATACTGCAGCAACTGTTGTAAGTTAGGAAGGTAGGATACATAAGGATATGGTTATTTTATTTGCATCTGTATCCAATGATTAACGAATTGCTGGAAAGACGATTCTGAACGAAGTTTTATTAATCTTCTTCTTCTTAGCAATCGACCATTAAGATCATACATTCAAACATACATCTTGCCATTTCACACTATCCATCGCTATGATATTCCATTCGGCCCTTGAGTTTATTGTTTGTACGTCCTTCCTGACTTGGTCTTCCCAACTTAGTCGGGGTCTTCTTAAGGGTCTCTTTCCTTGGGGAGTCCCACATTGAACCATTCGTATTAGAGTTCCTTCTTTTCTCCATGCATGTCCTGCCCATTGGAGTCTCCTTTTTTTTAATTTCTCTAATTATATCGGGCATTTAGTACAACTGTTTAAGTTCCTCGTTTTTTCGAATTCTCCATTCCCTTGTGGTATCGTCTATACACGGTCCGAAGATTGTTCTTAATATTTTTCTTTCAAATATCAGTAGTCTGTTTTGATCTGATTTCCGTAACGTCCATACTTCACAGTACATCAATTGATAAATACATACTGTTATATTTATGAGTACGTAAGTACTTANCTAAGGGTCTCTTTCCTTGGGGAGTCCCACATTGAACCATTCGTATTAGAGTTCCTTCTTTTCTCCATGCATGTCCTGCCCATTGGAGTATTCTTTTTTTTATTTTTCTAATTATATAGGGCATTTGGTACAACTGTTTAAGTTCCTCGTTTTTTCGAATTCTCCATTCCCTTGTGGTATCGTCTATACACGGTCCGAAGATTGTTCTTAATATTTTTCTTTCAAATATCAGTAGTCTGTTTTGATCTGATTTCCGTAACGTCCATATTTCACAACCGTACATTACCACTGGACGGATGAGGGTGCGATACAGTTGTATCTTGAGGTTCTTCGATATCGTTCTCGTCTTTAACACATTAATTAGTCCGTAGTAACATTTATTACCGGATTGGAGTCTTGCTTTTATTTCAGTAAGTTCATCGTTTTTTTCTGTCAAAATTGATCCCAGATATTTGAATTCTTTCACTCTCTGAAACTTGTACTGTCCAACTTCTAAAAAAGGGTGGACATGATCCGCGACCTCTCCTCTATGCATAATTAGGTACTCCGTTTTCTCAGCATTTATTTCTAAACCTATTCTTTTTGCCGTATCTAGAAGTTTTCCCGCTTGCTCCTTGAGATTTTCCTTACTTTCCGCAAGTAAAGCTATGTCGTCTGCGTAGGCCAATACTCCTATTATGCAACCTCCTAAACGTATTCCGTTTTCTTCAATACGGCTCTCCCTGATGACCTTTTCTAACGCAATATTAAATAGTATGGGTGACAGAGCATCCCCTTGTCTCAAACCAGTCGATACTGATATCCCTTGTGATAAAATATTGCCAACTTTAATCTTAATTTCCGTGTGTAGGATGTTTGATTTTATCAAATTAATTAATTTCTGGGGCAATTTGAACTGTCTTAGTACATTCAGCAGAGATCCTCTATGTATGCAATCATACGCCTTCTTGAAATCAATAAATAGTACATGTACTTCTCTGTTAAACTCCCACATTTTTTGGAAAATTTGTTTCAGAATAAATATCTGATCCGTGGTGGATCTATTTTGTCTAAAACCCGCTTGATAGTCTCCTAAAATATCTTCTGCCCATGGCTTAATTCTGTTTAATATACATTTAGATAGCACTTTGTAGGTAACGTTTAACAGAGCGATAATTATCGCACAACTGCTTATCTCCCTTTTTGTGTATAAGGTATATCAACGCTGATTTGTATTATTTGTATATATTTGATAAAAAAGAGGTATAATTTACTCATTTGTTAATAACTAATTAAATATTTTGAAAAAAAATTCAAATACCCTCAACATTTAAGAGTTTGTTTTAAGTGTTATTGTCATTTTTAAAAAAGTACAATTTAAACTTTTATTAATAAAACCATCAATTAGAAAAAAGAAAAAAGGACAAGATACTGTAGCAACTGTTGTAAGTTAGGAAGGTAGGATACATAAGGATAAGGTTATTTTATTTGCATATGTATCCAATGATTAACGAATTGCTGGAAAGACGATTCTGAACGAAGTTTTATTAATAGTATTACTTAATACTGCGGCGATCTCGCCGTAGTAATACCTATATAATACCTATATAAATAATAAATAAATTGTTTATAGTGAATTAAAACTAAATGTACAGTTGCATTGCTATAATATACGACATCGAAATCTGACCCTGTTTATGTAAAAGGAAAAAAAATGACGATGACGTTACGTGACATATGGTAATGCGGATGGTAGACAATATTTATACGACTTTGAGACAACCTGTATAATCTATAAACCTTGATCGCATACTACAATATTGCCGAATAAAAATATGGTGGTCGTGTTACCACTTTTAGATAACTTTTTACCACAGAGATAAAAATAGTTGTTAATTATAACAGTGATTTTGTATCACATTATTCAATTATTGAATTATTCGCATGGTTTATCGAATACGAACGATAACAGTTGTCGCAGAATCGCTAAATTCAGAAAGGACACATGTCCAAGTTTTAAATTTTTTCAGGAAACACAAAAAACTTAATATATTTGAAAAAAATTGAATTACAAATTGTATGTTATAGAATAATATAGTTTAAGACATGGTATACATGTTTCTACAATCACTTAAAGAAATATAATTAAACTATAGGTATCTGATGGACTTTAAGGTTGTGGACATGTGCCGTTTATGCTTCAAATTACCATTTATATTTCGAAAATAACCGTTTTCTTATAAATAAGTAGCTTTAATATGCATACAAATTAAAATGACATGATTAAATAATATACAGTAGATTATATACTAATATTGAGTCACAAATATTTGATATCTTTTTAATAATTAGAAATTGAATTATATAAAATTTATATAATTAAAGATATTTAATATCTTATGTTCTATTTTGCCTTGCTTGAGGTGTCTCAGTTTGTAACGAAAATATAATATAATTCCAAAATGATTGCAATGCTGGCTCTGAAATATATTTCGCTAATTGCTTCACATCTTTCACTTTGCTTTCAAGAATTGGTAAGCTTGAAGTATAAACTAGTGTTTTTGGGAGTTGTATGGGCATTGCATTGTTTTTTCTCAATTTGAAATGGTTTGATATTATTCCGTCAATAAATTCACTTGCCTTAATTATTCCACATTTTTCCGATACACATTCAAAATAATGGTACTTAGAAATTAAACATTTTTCTATTGTACGACGTTGTTTTAATGTTTTATTACGGCTTAAACATTTTAATGCGTTAGTATTTTTAATATAAAATTGTGGAAACCACATTTGATAGTCATAAATTATACTTTTATCAACTAGAAACACTGACAATTTTTCTGGGTTTCTTGATGATTTTAAAATAAGTTCTATATAGTCTTCTAAAGTGTATAGACGATCCACTCTGTTCAGTTGTTTTTTTATCAATGCAAAGTCACGAGTGTCCTCTTTGTGGAAAAAACAACTGAACTTTTTTGAATTTTTGAATTTCAACTAGAGCCATAATCATTCTGAGTAATGCGTGGTTTTTGTTTTGCCCAGCACAATTGTCACAAAACAAATGCAATTCCTCAACATCATCATCAACAAAACTATTGATATAATGAACCAAAAAAGAGCATACATCATTTAGCGTTTTTCTTGCTGTTGCCTCATGATAAACATAACAAAATAAATTATTCGTGTTTAAATTATGAATACCAAAAGTATTGACAGATAATTGACGATAATAATATTCTTCCTGCACCGGTATTTTAGGTAAGTCAACTACAGCCATAAAATCAAAGCAACGACCGAACACTTTTTTATTCTGTCGAGAAATCTCTATTGTTTTTTTAATATTATTATACAATTTTTTGCTTCTATGTTTATGAACTAGTAATTCCGCAGTAGCAACTCTTTTTGCATCATTTAAATCTTTACTCATTATATTTGTATTTAATTCTTCGCATTTTGAACAAGTATCTTTGACTGGAGCACCAAAGCTTAATGAAAAATTATTCTTAAAATACTCCCAATAATATTGATATTTTATTTTCCCTTCTAATTCTGGATACTTTTCTATAAACATTGTGTGCATAGTTTTAACATTTAATTTAGGGTCTAAATAATTTTTCAATCGTCTTGTGTAATGAGTATCTTTAGTTGGAAAACTCAGTATATGTTCATGTATTTTTTGACAATACTCATTTGGCATAGTATTAGCACTAATATTTTTGCCTCTCATATCAACTGGGGTAATATTATTTTCATATATCATATATCACTTAGAATCTAATTTAATTGGATACACAGATATATACTATAATTGAATTTTGTATTTATTCAAAATTAATTTCCTAACCTCATAAATTTCAAATCAGCTGCAAACCTCCAACTATTTGGAATTCACCTGATATTCACCACGAATTAAGATATCTTAATTCGCAGTATACTACTAAACCGCCGATGGAGGTGAGAAAAAAATTCCAAGAGGGGGGGCGATCTCTTAATCAGCCTCCCTTCAAATCCACCCCTAAATATCCAGTAAATTCAGTACATTGTTTTCATTTAAGCACAAAAACTGGTTGAAATCTGGCTCTTGGGTTCAAAATATTGAAAAACCAACCCCTGTATTTTTTCTTTCCCTCTCTTACCTGATTCACGTTATGCAGTCAGAATATCCATTTTCTGATTTCCCGCAATAATATGGGGGTTTTTTTTTCACGGAAATTTGTACAGAAGTTTTATGGGCTATGACCGCCGCAATTTAATTTCATTATCAATACAGCGGCGTCGTCGCCGACACTTAATCAGTGATACCGAACCCATCAAAAATAAAACCATATAGGTTTACCTATACCGTAGAATAACACGGAAAAAAAATGATTAAAACCATAGATAAACGACGAATACATATATTGACCAACTGATCAACGTATCCCGCTATCGAATTTTCAATTTTCCCCGCGTAACGATTAATGGATAATCTATTCCTCGCTTTGGGTGAAGAAAAAAAATGAAAAAAAATATCGAAAAACGATAAATAGGTTATCGATTTATATAGCCACCTGAAATTTCACTAAGTAGTTAAAAAGTCGATTCTTGAATTTTCTTACCAGTTTTCGCGGTACCATATGGCTCTGCAGCTGTATGATCTCTATATTTTTGCATTTACAATTTTATGTAATAGTTAGTAGCAAAGGGACCTATTATATATAATTTATTACATTAAGTATTATAATGCATAATATACCTGAATATATTTCCATATTAATTATATGTCCCCCACATATTACTACAAACAAATGAATCGTGGTGGATATATTTCTGCATGGCACTTTTTTGGTTGTCCTGCTTTTACAACCTAAATTAAGTAATTTATATATATATTACATACTGTTAATAAATATGATATAATTATAGCAAACAACCGGAAAAACGTATTGAAGTATATTTAACTTTTCTTCTATAACTCCAGCTAATCCATTTTCCATATTAGTTTGGAAAAATGTACAACGCAAACGCGTCATTGTTCGCGCAGGTGAGGCACGTGCGTTTCCGACAGTGAGCGCTGTTGTCAACCAAAACAACGAATATACGTAGTGAGCTGTATTAACAAAACACTTCGTATTCCGCGTATACTGTACGTACATAAACGAACTATACCACGATACACTGTAAACACGTCCGACCGCGACAAAAAACGACTGATACCGACAGACACAGCCAATTACAGTGGTCCGACCGTTCTGGCGGTATTTATGCATGCGCGAGTTTTTCCAAAGTAATATGGAATAGAGTATAGAATGACATTTTTTTTTTCAAAAAAATACTTATTATATTAATAGTTGAGACAGTAATTTTAATCAACATTCTAGTGAAATGCCCCTGCATTCTCGTTCCAAATGATTTTACTTCTCCGTATTCCCTTGTCGGTATTTTTCACCAAAATTTTGCCGCACCGCGGGAATTTCCCTGTTACCTGACAACACTGTAATGCCAACCTGACCTACCTGTTAACCTAACCTGTTCACAACTGGCTATGACTGAGTTACAGTTTCGTTTGTTCAGTCTTTCTAAATTGTAGTGATTTAGTTATTTTCTTCGTCTTGTGTGTAGTGCATATCCATTGCGCCGTCCCGTCGCGCGTCTTCAACGTCCTCGCGCGCGCGTTCCATTATTAACTTTTGAATTTTTATTGTCCGTAATTTATAAAAAAAATTTAATATTTTATTTTTTGCAAATTATTTTTTAATTTTCAACCAGTTATTATAATAATATTATTTGTCTATTCGAATGTAATAGTAACTATAATAAATTATATATCGATATAGTGTATAGTGACATTAAGTACTATATTATGTGACTATGTATTGATTGTTATTAGGTATACATGATAATAATAATATACACATGAAACATACCTATATTATAATTTTAATGTTTTCTATCGTCGAGTATTATAATAGTATCGTTAATTACGGGTAATATTTCGGAGTGATTAGAGACATCAATTTTTGCCACCAAACCGAAAAAACACTAAAAGTGACGGGCACACGGAGCACACGTGGACAATACCAAGGTACTATCATAATCTTTTCCATACTTAACCTATGTATTTAATATACAATAATAATAAATTATTTAGTTAATTATTAGAAAACTTTTTTGCGCACTACTTTACCCTTACGAACATTAGTATAACGATAACTTCATCGTACCTACTCGTGCGTTTTTACCTGTGACCTATCAATATTCTAATTTACGTGATGTTAGGAGTTTGGCGACGGTGTAGATAATATATCTACTTTAATCAATTTAGGTCTAACAGTCAAACAAAAGTGTTAGTTTAAAGTGTAGTTTGATGGATTTTAATAATTTTAAAAACATAATATGATTCTTGGGCACTGGGATAAGTGAATCCAAATTTAAAAAAACAATTCAAACGTATAACAACAATTATAAATCTTAAAAAATCATATTAATTTCAGCATTGAAATACGTGAAACGCATTTCCCACAGTGTTTTCTGGCTTTTCAGTCTAAATCGAAGCTAAAACGTCATATTTGTACCTATGTAAAAACGGCTATACCCCTCTCTTTAAATGAGTATCGGACATTAGATTAGTCTAGGATTCTTTTAACTAATGTGGTAATTGAAATTTAATTACAAAATTAAACAACATTTGGAAAACCGTCACTATTCACCTTGTATTAACAATAATTTATTATTATTATGTCTACCATGTTACCTATATTGTCGACAACCAAACTATTATTTTAAAATTTTTTCATTTTTTTTATTTTCCACGCCAATTTTTAAATAAAAGCACTTAGATAGAAAAAAAAAGGAGGAAAACATACAATTTCATAATTTCATTATTTCATAAAATCACGGACGACGTTTTCTACCAGAAATAAATGATTTAATCAAAAAATGTAAAGACACCTTTTTTGTTGCCTTTCTGATTTACTTTCTTAACGGTATCATCGCCAAAACTTTTGGCGAAGACTTTTTTCCTTTTTTTTTTACAATGGTACTTTATTTTTTTATTTTTTTTTTTTTTTGTTCTGTAGACCACTTTTATTCTATAAAACTTGCTCCGATGTATAAGCGTAGCACCTTATCTGAAAATCAATTTTATCTAATTAGTAATTACATATATCATTTTTTGATTTTCGAAACGGTATTTAAAATAAAAACGATTTACGGCGCAAGTTGTCTTTTGATTTCATATTGATTTGGAAAAACCAGAAAAAGACGAAGTTATTGTAATTCAGTTAAAAATATTTGTAGTGACTTGAAAAGTGGACAGAATGTTCTTATTTCGTTGTTTAAATTGCACTAGTGCATACTGCATATCAACAATTTGACAAAATGTTGATAATTTGAGCTATAATTGCCGGAAATTTATAATCAGAAAAATTTTCTGTCAGCTTAATGATTATAATATTGTTAATAAAAATGATGACAACACTTATTTCAATACTAAAGTTGTGTTTTGGAGATTAAGTAAAAAATGACGGTACTTCAAATTATATATTACCGGACTGCGCTCGGAATCGTCTTTGGTCAGCAATGGTTTATCGTTGCTTACAGATATAAATTAAATAACCTTATGAATCCTACCTTCCTAATTTTCCACCTACAACAGTGGCTACACCCATCCCAAGTATCAGCTCTTATGTATGTTTCCACTTGGATTTCTTATGCAAATTCAAGTACCTAGTACTTGATAAATAGTGGAAACACATGCATTTATATTTGTATTATATTTATCATCCGGCCGTGTCACAGTAGTAGGTACTCATACGTACGTAATAACTAGTTAAGGTAGTATGGCTTTGTTAATTGTGCTATGCGCAAACGACCAACCGAATATTTTACCCACGGGCTTGATAATGCGCAAACGACAAACGCCGTCATTTTATATAACAAAAAATATTATACATTAAACAAAACATTTTGGCAAGTAACCGACCAAGTAGCAAGCAATACAGCAAATTGTTTACCTACTGAAAATTGCATCGCTATAACACTCCTAATATCGACGATAATAGTAATAATAACAATTATAATATCCTAATTTATTGATTTTAATTTGTATACACGTCGCGTGTACTATCGCTCTCTCGCGTCAAGTATATTTTATTTATTTATCGTAGGGGTTCGAGACACGGTGGTTTTCTTGTAGGAGTTATAACGAGAAAGTGAAAGAGACGGCCAGTTAGCGAGCGAACGAGCCAATTAAGGAACGTACAAATCGGTGCATACGAGTCGCCTCCCATCCTTAAAGTAAATGAAAAGGTTAATACATACTAGTCACCTCCGACGATTAGGTAGTTCATAATTATATACGAGTTGCCTCCCAAAAACGAGTCGCCTCCAATGTTGAATAAAGCAGTGGTTCATAAACTAAACTAAATTTAATATAATTTTTGTAATTTTATTAAAAATAATAATATAATTAGTCAATAAAAGAACATATGAACAGTACTTATTTAAATAATGTCTATTATGGTTCGACCTATTTTTATCGTGCAATTCCCCCGTTCTTTACTGTAGGCTAACTTTTTTTTAAAACTAAATTTAAAATTATTAATTATTTTAACACGTTTGCTATTTTCACTGTTCATTTCCCGCATTTCAATTTGATTCATTCTTAAAACTTATTAGACAATTTTAAATCACTTAATAACTATTTGTAAAAATAAAAACGTACGACGAGTGTTGAAGCTCAGCTAA